ATTGTAAACTAATACAACCTTCACAGAATCTATCAGAGTATTTTGTTGATTTACACTTGTTGCATTCTTTTTGTTGGCCCCATTTATATCTTACATTATTTAATTCAAAATCATAAATATGCTTTTCTCTACAATATTGTTTTTCATTTTCAGAAAGCTCCTTATTTTTTTTGACCAATGAAAAAAAATAACCCTTTTGACTTTCTCTATTATGTGCATTTGTTAAAGCATCATCATACATTCCTCCATGAATGTTATTTACAAAATCCCATCTTTCTGGTGATAATAATTTATAAAATGACATTTTTAACTTAATATATTTTAAAAAAAAATTTTTTTATTATTATTTCCTTTTTCTGTCTATCAATAGCAAAGTGTAACAAACAATGATAAAAGGTTTTGAACCCACTCTCTCGTGATAATAACCTTTTGTTATACTAATGAGACTAATGAGGGGTTTAAAACACCAAATTAAAATCGCAGTTTCTTTATTTTAGTTAAATTACTAGTATCTTTTTTATTAGTGTATGAATTTCTTTCGGCGAATCTCCGAAACACACTAATAACTGACAATATAATATATCATGATTATTACGAGCTTTACCATCAAATGGCGGATAACCTGCAAATATTTCCCACCACAGTAGCAACCCAACCCGGTTCTTTTGCCTTCTAAGTAGCTCGGGCGCAAATATATGACCAACTGGTCTGCGTGATCCTACCTCTCGGCATTAAATATATATATATATTTCTATGAATTAAATCTTTTTCATTCATAGAATATAGTGCAATTCTATCTTTTAATATTAAATACAAATGATTTTTTGTTCTGGATGATGATTTAGAACCATTGCAAGTTTTCCATTGTCTGGAAATTTCAATAAATATAAAATCAATTAATATGGAAAAATCGCGCGTAAATATTCCTACAATAAACAATATTGCTATAAGTGCAATAAGTTTGTACATAATATATAGTGCTAATTATACTTGTCCATATGGCAGCATAAATTGACTTTTTTATTGATCATAAGGTATTCACACTATAGGTTCTGTGATTCGGTTTGGAAGAGATGATTGCATCTGGCATTGTTTAATAAAATTTATGTCATTACCGGACGCACAAGTAGTGAAAAACTCTGTGAATGTAGGCTAATACATTTTTCACAAAATCTCATTGATTTACAATCTTTACTGCTAATATAGATAGCCTTTAC